TACAGTAGATATGCATGAATCTGTGAATATTTAAATTCAAGCTCAAACAGTGACACAATGCTCTCTAGTTTTACTTCCATAATAGAACATTTTTTTTATTAATTTCAAGCTTGAAATCATTCTTTATGAAAAAAAAATCACACACACACAGATGAAAGAAATTTAATAATTCATTGCCACTGCCACAAAGGTAAGTTTTCTTAATGTGCTTGTCAGGGCCCTCTGGTTTACGAAGCTGTTGAGTATTTTCCTAGGGGCTGGTACACACATTCATTGATTTTCCTAATTTTGAACAAAGAAAATAGATCCAATATCCACATACCCATAAATGTGCTGGTTCTTAAATCCTGTTTGATTTCGATCCTTTATCTGCAGGACAGAGCTATGTAAATGCCTACGGAAAGGATGTAGAACTTGATCTCTGCTGGAAACCTTTGCTCTGTGTCAGTCCTTATGTGAGTGGCAAGAATCTGTGGATGTGGCAGCTGAGGCCCAGATGGAAAATGATGCATCTCATAAACTGCTCTTCTGCTAAAATGTCAAGCCAAGGCGAGGCCGCACCTCAAACTCAGCGCTTGGCATTTTCCTTCTGCCTGCTTTGTTGCCAGGAAGCAAACACGAACAGTGAGGACCTGTGTAGGGCAGGTAGCGGGCGAGCTCACTGTCAAAAATCCATTATTAGGGCTCTGATCTCCTGCACAGACCAGCGAGGGCCGAACGCGAGGGCCTCACTGAAGGAAAGGCAGCAGAAGGCAGGGGGATTCTTGTCAGTCTGCACTGGAGCACATTCCAAGGAGCGTGATTTACATGAGAATGGTGCCAGCCCCAGCCTCTCAAACACGATGATGGCTTATAATGAAAATTGTACTTCGGCATCTTAATTTGATCTGCCTACTTCTGACTGTTCTGTAAATACAGTACATAACAGGGTCTTCAATAATCTGATCAGTTAAACTTGTGATAGTCTGCTAATGTTTTTACATATGTGAAGAATAGGCTAGATTTTTTTTTTTTGCATTACTTTGGTGCATGCATACACACACACACACACACACAGATGAGTGAGGATAAAGCAGGCAGCTTTTGTAAATAGTGCTACAATAAACATAAGGGTGCCTACATTCTTTTGAGTTCATGTTTTGGATTTCTTCAGATATATTCCCAGAAGTGTAATTGCTGGGTCGTAAGGTAGTTCCCTTTTTCATTTTTTGCGGTAACACCATATTGTTTTCCATAGTGGCTGCACCAGTCTGCATTCCCACCAGCAGTGTGCAGGAGTCCCCTTTTCTCCACACCCTTGCCAGGACTTGTCCTTTATTGATCTGTTGATGGCCGCCATTCTGACATGTGTGAGGTGATACCTCATTGTTTTTAATTTGCATCTCTCTGATGATTAGTGACATGGAACATTTTTTTCATGTGTCTATTGGCCATCTGTATGTTCTTTTTGGAGAGGTGTCTATTCAGGTTGTTTGCTCATATTTTAATTGGATTGTTTATTTGGTGTTGGGCTATATGGGTTCTTTATGAATTTTGGATATTAACCCCTTATCAGATGTGTCATTGGCAGATATGTTCTCCCAGTCAGTGGGTTGTCTTTTCATTTTGTTCATGATTTCCTCTGCTGTGCAAAAACTTTTTAGTCTGATGTAGTCCCATTTGTTTATTTATTTCTTTGGTCTCCCTTGCCCAAAGAGATATATCATATAAAATACTGCTTGATAACTGTCTGAGATTTTACTGCCTATGTTTTCTTCCAGGAGTTCTGTGGCGAATACTTCTTTAGAGTTGGTGAGTCGGATGAAGTACCCGCATGGTGAAGAGCTTACTGGGCCCTTCTGATTTCATAAAATATCCCTTCTGGACTCCAAACAAGCTTCCTTTTGAGGCCATTCTCATGATGAAACCATCTTTAATTCTATAAATCTACCTTGAATGGACTCGCACTGTGAGCTTGGAGATTTCCAGGTGTTCCTCCCACAACTGAAATTCAGGTTTCTAAATATTTCTATTATGAATCTGGTTCCTGTGTTTGCACCCTCCCCACTTCTAATCAGCTACATGGAGAAATACAGTTTCTAAAGTAACCAAGCTGAGGATGAGACCGTGGAATGAGGTGCTAGCCCCCCCGCCCCCTATACATTTTCAAGTGCAACATTTAGAAATTATCTTGTTTAAGGACTTCTATAGGCTTAACAACTTCTTTTATTTAACAAAGGGACCTCTCTCTAAAACAGTATCTTTCAGACATTTTTGAAGTTAAGCACAATACACAATGCATTTTATATCATGACCTGGTACAAATGTTATATACATGCATGTATTACATGTATAACTGAAAAAGATATTTGATCGAACAATGTTTAACTGTGTGCAGAGCATTCTGACATGTTTTCTATTCTATTTCTTTGTTTTTTTAAAATAAAAATGTTGAGTTACAGTTCATCACACTGACCCCATAGCTCATGAGCTGGGAATGAACGTTTGAAAACATTGCTTTATTTAGATTCCAGACGTATTCTATTTGAAATAACCCACTGCCTTTCCTTTCCCGAGTGTCTGCCTTTGCAATGCTGTCACCTTGCTTTGTCAGCCAAGGCAGAGGGACCTGGAGAGCATTACGCTGAGTGAAATCAGCCAGCCAGAGAAAGATAAGTATCACATGATGTTACTTATATGTGAAATCTAATGAACAAAATAAACTGACAAACAAAATAGATTTAGAGACATGGAGGCAGGGAACAGACTAAGGGACCTCAAAGGGAAGGAGGGGTGGGAAGAAGTAAACAAAAGAAGGTATATGCTATATGCCCAACCCATGGATACAGACAACAGTGCGGTGAGGGTGGGATGGGGGGGCAGGAGTGGGGTGGAGGGTGTCAATGGCGGAAGAAGGGGGACATCTGTGTTCCTTTCGATGACAAAAATAAATTTAAAAAATAAAAGAACATTACTGAAATGTGACCAGTTTTCTACAGCACGCGAACTCTCCCAAGGACCTCACTGTTTCTCCATTTAAACAAACTCAAACCTTAACTTCAAATAGCAGACACCGTTTTCTGAGAAAAATAAAAAAATAAAGACTAGAGAACACTGAGAGGCAAGACCACCCTTCCCAGGTGGAGCGCGTGTGTCTCAGGGGCTGGCTGTCCGGAGTTCCAGGTCGTTGCACTAAGGAAAACCTGCGGTTTGGGACCGACACCCGGTGCTCAGGGAAGACCTTCCGGGAGTGCTAGCGCTGAGCGGGGCCGTCCTTTCCCTCTGACACAAGGCTCTGGGAAGGTGTGATGCCGGGTGCGGAGGGTCCGGGTCTGCACGCCCTCTGCGATGAGAGGGGCGCTCGGCCTCCGTGGTACCGCGGCTCCTGCGCCGGCCTGACGCGCCCAGCAGCTGGCGCGGGACGTGCTTTGCCAGGAACTGGCTTCGCCCTGGACCATTCTCATCGCCTTCTTAAACCGCTCTTTCAGGTTCTACTACCGTTAAGTTAAAGTGAACGCTGCTTTAGAGGAGAAATACTATTAACGTTTTCATTACGGGGAAGGCTATTTTCAGAACAGATTGTCCGACGTGGAGGCGCTTGGCGCGGCGCCCGCGGGAAGAGGTGCGCGCTCAGCCCCTTCGGCGGGCGTTCGCGGGGAGCGCCCGTCGCCAGCCTGCGCCCCAGCGGTGTTTACGTGCGGATTTATAAATCTTAGAAATGGCGCTTTATGGAAATGTTAGCAGGCCCCGAGGGACCGCTGAGCCTCGCTCACGTGCTTGCAGCCGGGACACAAAGCCTTTTCTCACGCGCGATTCTGCCGTTTTATTAGCCTGAGTTATAGAAGGAGGGAATATTCAGGAACTGCGGCTTCAACGGCTAACGCGAGTGGTGTTACTTACATAAAATACTACCGCAATAGCTCTTCTATTAATTTTTAATGCTCAGCACCCTCAGTGACCTCCTTCCCTCCCCTGCCAGCAACCTGGCAGGTGGAGAAGCTGAACGGCTGACGCAAAACTGCACGCGACAGGCGCCCCGGTCTGCGCTGTACCTGGGGCCGAGGGGGTGCGGCCCATGGGGTCCCGCATCATGGTGACATTTAAGGCCCCTTTGGCTGCTCGTGCTTCTCGTCCACCTTCCTCCTCCTGCCATTGTGGGAAGGGAGTGGTGCCCTTAGAAGCAAATATAACCAGTTTCCCCCTTTCAGCCCAGGCTCACAGACACCCTTCATGGCCCGGAAGCATGAGGCCTGGCACGGAGAGGCCCGTTCGTGTCCTCCAGCCTCCCCCAAGCACGCTGTTCTGATTCGGCGATGCTGCCCGAGCAGTGGGCTTGCTCTGATCTGTGTATTCACCACTGTCTCTGTCGCCAAGGAGACTAATCCTCATGCCAGCACAGTGAGCCTCACAGCCTGGTCTCTGCACCGCCAGGCTCCTGTTGTCACAGCAACGGCGCAGGGAGACTGGGCGGCGAGGGGGGCGTTCCCGTTCTGTTCCGACGCACGTGTTCGCGGGTGGGAGCGTGTGCGGAGGTGTGAGGGCCGCCGCTGCTCGTCCACTGGCGCTGGGGATGCTCCAGTGTGTGTGTGTGTGTGTGTGTGTGTGTGTGTGTGTGTGTGTGTGTGCGCGCGTGCTGGGGACAGTTGGACAAGCATAATTTTTTGAAGAAGGTAGATTCCCTAATTCTAGGAAATATGGAAACGAATCCGGACTGTGGAAAGGCCAGGACATCAGGGTGTTGGTGTGCTCCTCTTCGCAGGCCTTGGTGTTGGCCTTTACTGAGAAGCGACAGGACAGCTGTGCCCATGAGAAACCCAGAGGGGAGCACAGACGCAGGGAAACAGGATCCCATGAATCCCCGTGGTACGCGCACGGACCCGCCTGTCTCTACTCCCAGGAGTTCTGACCAGCAAGGCAACAATGTGGGATCATAAAAGACACGACACTCCACTTGCGATATCCCTTCCCAATTTTTCAGCAACCTCCAAGAAAGCACAGTGCCAAGAGAGGGCACCACCTACCAGACACTCCTCCATATGTCGTCCGCTTCCCGGTGCCCACTGCTGGCCAGGGCGTGCCGTCGCCTTTGAGGCCCATCAGACCTGAGACTGTGTTGGTGGCTGTTACACCGTCTGCACCACCTACAAAAACACAGTGTTGACCTGCAGTTTTTAGAGGGACACCAGGAGAACCCATTCTGACCTGCACAGCTCAGGAAATGCGCCCTGCACCCCTCCCCAGACCATGTCCTCTCGTCAAACGTCTTCACTAAGCTCATCCTTCAGTCGTGCTTAACCTGCTAGAAATAAACATTTGTAATTACCCCCACTTCACTCTGCCCTTGCACACACGTATGGATGCCGAATACTTTGTATTCAGTGTTATTTTCCAGATAATTTACAATATGTTTGCAAATCAGGATGCAATTTCCACTGGATAGAATGTAGTGTGCATGCTTTGTAAAATCATCGTTAACTGTATGATTTATGGATTCAGTAGACCCTTATTAAACGTATGTTTAAGGCAGTGTACTAGGCCCATAAAATATAATGGGGACTCATCAGCAATTTTGTTGCATTGGGGAAGCAGGTATCTTCTTTTCTTTCTTTTTTTTACTTTATTCAAGGTTCAAAGGCTATTTCTGGGTTGTTATATTATCACATCACTTGTTGTGGAGTTATGTACTGTGACTATGGTTGGTTTTATAGTCCTGTGTGTACTAAACACGTGTTCATTAGAAACACACAGTATTAATGCTCTTTTGTTCCTTTAGCCCAAGTGTGAAGTCTATTCGAGCTCAAGTGCTCAACTTAATACTCTTCTCAAACTCGAAACAGAAATAAACACGTGTGAACAAAACAGACCCAGAGACATGGGAGTAGGGAACAGAGGACAAACCTGAGAGGGAAGGGAGTGGGGCGGGAAGAAATAAACCAAAAAACTTATATGCGTGTAGGCAAGACCAATGGACACAGACAGTAGTAAGATGAAGGTGGTGGGGAGGAGGGGGTCAATGGAGGGGAAAGGTGGGGCACCTGTAATACTTTCAACATAAAGATATATATATTATATATATATTTAAAAAGCCTGTACGCTTGTGGATAAAGATATAATTTTTTGGCTACATAATCGAGGCTTGTACTTACATAACTGGGCAATCTGTGCAGGTTTTAAATCCTTACCTTCCTTGGCAGCTCTCGCGATGCTGACGATATCAGTGACATTTGGGGTCAATTTGGCAAAAAAAGGAACTTGAACAGCTTGCCTAACCCAGCGGCAGATGTTCCGCACCAGCTCCGGGTCCTGTTCAGATAGGCCAAATATAGGACATCATTAAAGAATCGTGATCACAACGTATACCCACACCACGGGAAAGCTAGTGGTGTGCCAGACCGACCCACTGGGCAAGGCAGCCCGCAACACATCTCTCGGGGTTACACCTGGCCTCGCTCAGGAGCCGGGTGAGCACGCTGGGGTGAACTTCAGTCCACAGCACAAAGGTCACACTCTCAGGGGCCTTTGGAAAATGAAATGACAGAGAACCAAATGGAAGAACATGTTACCCACTTAGCAGGAATAAAACATGAACTCCTAGTGATAAGTTTGGGAAACATGACAAAATTTCTAGTGACCTTGTTTTAAGTCCAATAAAGAATATTTAAACTGGTGACTCCCAGGGGAATAATACAGAATCTGAAGCCTGTTGTTTTCATTACAAGGCAGTTTAGTGTTGTTGACACGTATTCAGCAGACAATCTGTGACTTCGAGTCACCTCACTACGGTGCGGAGTATATGCTGATATGGATTCTGCAGAAGCCAACCAGCAGCGTTAGCTTGATTTTGTAAACATTACCAAGGTCTGGCAGCACTTTCAACACTCATCTATTTGAAAGAATTGATCAAAATGGCAAAAATGAAATAAAATATCAAATGCTCATTTTAAAAGCAAGGAACAGACAGACTTTTTCATGTGCCTGTTTCCTGTGATTTTTCAGACTTCTGGGTCCTCATGGGATGAGTATAATTTAGAGGGTGATCACCGATCCTACCCATGGAAAATAACATAGCTGCAGAAATGTTCTTTGATTTCAACACATACAATAGTCCTTTTCTTCATTACTTTTAGTGCAAAATTTATTCTGACAGGTACTGATAATGTGCTTTGATAAATTATTTTAAAATATGCAATAGCAATTCATTATTGAAGTTGGTAATATTATCTTAGCAAGTGAAAATGTTTTTTTGAATAAAAGAAAAACCCAGAAAAATACAGCCATATTTAAACTCCAAAGCAGTAGGCAAGTACATTATTTGTAATTAATATTTTTACATGTAAGAAAGTTGCTATTTGCATTTTAACCTTTCAGATTCTCTTAAGATGAGATTTCTAATGTTGTAACCTTTAGAAAGAACCTTTTCACTTCGGTTTAATGTGTCTTGATCTGTCATCTTGTATTCCTCTAAAAGTTATGCGTTTATGGGCTAAGACACCACAATGAGGTGGTTTCTGTTGATTGTTATTGTCTCCATTCAGCAAAACTAAATAATTTTAACAAAAAAGAAGAAAATGTGGCTTTGCTTGTTCTCCTTTTCAGAACAGTCACTTCTTCATTAAACAGATAGGGAAGCAGCACTGTGTGGCTGCCCCCAGGGCAGACCGCGGCAGGGACAGGGAAACCTGGACACTTAGCTGTGCAACTTCTAACTCCTGAGAATGGAGGTCTGCCCTGCCCATGCAGTGTTCATGAAATATTTATAACCGCGACATTGGCATTATGAAGGTAGTTGCATCTTTGTGACTTTCATTTTTAAGTGATGAATTTCTGTGGGACTCAGCCTAGAAATGACAGTAACTCTAGATGATATGAATAGCATGTCCTTTGTGAAAGCTCTCTTTAAGGCAGAATTTGACAATAATTTAAAGATCACTTGCATTGCATAATACATGGCAGGCAGTCTGATTAGAATTACTGAAACAAATTTAAAATCGCATTTGGTTCCAACTGAGTAGACACTAATAATCGAATACATGCTTCTAAGTGGCTTTCAATACCATTGACCATCACGTCTTTAGAATTTACTTTGAACATTTGTCACACTGTTTTTTTCTATTGATTATCACATGTAGAATACTTTAAATGAATGCCTTTCATCCATTGTTTAACAATTTGAAATTTATTCCAAATGTATTTTTTTTTAAAAAAAAATAAATAAATAACAACATGGTCTCTTGTTAAGGTTGTTTATGGAGTCACCTGTCTCTATTTGGAGATTCCATAATTCAATCCTCCTATACTCCTATGACTGTTTATGGTCAGATATATTTTTCTCATCTTCATACTCAGCCAAAGCAGCTGCTCACTGAGCCTCATACCTAGCTGAAACATAATTAAATTACCTGGAAATTTAAAACATAACTTTGGACCAACATTATTGTGAACATTAATGACTGTTCTGTAAATGTGAAGCTTTGTTTGACAGGCATACTAGGGCCTATTCTAATACAAGTAGAAGTGTGGTGAGCTAATAACATGATAAAATGAATTTGTATACTTTGGGGAATTACAGGACAGCCTGTGACTATTAACACTCTTCTGGTTCCCTCGTGCATCTGATATTAATAGTCAAGATCTAAAAGAAATTAAGTGTTCACCTTATTTTCTGATGATAACATCAGATGATGTTACACTTCCAACAAGCCCATTTTTAGAATCTTATTAAAATGGATAGATTTTAGATAATTTCTACGTCTCCCCCAAATCTTCAGAATAGGAAGTACACAAGGGGACTTCAAATGAATACTTTAGCATTATCCACACCAACATAAATAAATAAAACCAAGCGAGGCTGGACTGCTTTCTACTTGTAGGCATACAACTGTGTAGGCACGCAAATATCGCTGTGCAATGAGAGAAGAATGAATGCAAACTTGGCACATTTTCCTTTGACTTCTTTATGGAGCCATCAGAACACAGGCCAAGGAAAACATGGATATAGTTAACGATGAATAATGTCTAAAATCATGAACTCTAAGGAGACTTGTTTACAAATCTGGGATAATTTTGAGGAAAAACTGGTGGATAATCATGCAAAAAACAGCTTAAGAAGTCTTTTAAAGTGTCTAACCCACAAGAGTCTACCTGGATCACTGAGTTTTTATTGTCTCTTCCCACAGGTATTAGCAATGCCCATCCTGACCATGCCTTGCAATCTCCCTCACAGCAACTGCCAGTGTGTGCGTGTGTGTGCGTGTGTGTTCTTCTCTAACACCTGTTTACCTTTGGTTATTCACATGATCACCAAAGAAAGCTCTTTGCCAGCAGAACAGGTTTTTCTGTGTAATAAGCAGGACAAGCAGGAAGGCAGTGAAGCCCCAGAGAAAAGAGGGGTGGACCTGGGAGCTGCTGGGGTGAAGGTAGCAGACCGGATGTGCTGAAAGGGGGTGAACGCAGCAGGACACCGATCTGCTCCTTGGACAGTTCATGAGAGCAGCCCAGCGTCTGTCTGTGGTGAAGACACCCTGGAATAGGCCCACGAAAGCCAAGCAAAGAGAAAGCAGCAGAACCCAGAACATGTCGTGTTGAGTGGACTGCTGCTTCGGTACTTCCCATGGTCCAAAACTTGTTTTTAAAGCTTAATTTTCCATCTCGGCCATAAAATAATAATTTTGATATTGTTGTTAGTCTTCACCTGATTTTAGGTAGAGTGGAAGGGAGGAAGGGGGAGAGAAACATTGACATGAGAGAGACACATTGATTGTCTGCTTCCTGCACAACCCCAACCAGGGCCGGGGATCGAACCCACAACCCAGGTACATGCCCTTGACTGGGAATCCATCCTGTGACCCTTCAGTCCGTGGGCTGATGCTCCAACTGAGCCAAAGCAGCCAGAGCAAGATAATCATTTTTCATTCTGGTAACCAGCTATAGTATATGAGGGTTATAGCTTAGGGGGCTCTGCTGCTTTCGAGGCCCCCACAATGACCTCTCGAACAGGCGCTCCCTCCAATCACCAAAGGCATCAGATCTCACTGGTTTCATGGCCCATACAAAGAAAAAAGCACCAGAGAATGAGACTGAGAATTTCTTGATAAGCTAAATTACAAGTGAAATTTTTGACTTTAAGAAACATTTCTCTTCAATTTACCTGGCAATTTTCACTCTGTACAATTCTTTTCAAAATGGCTTTCTTAGAAGGTGGCGTTTCAACAAATCCACTGAAGAATTTTACCAGTTATAAAGTGTTTTCCACTAAGGAACTTCTAAGCCTTAATTCATGTGACATGGCAGGGAGTAGCCAGCATTTTATGTTCTCCTTCCTGATAGCGAGAACTGGGGTCCAGGAGATCAACCTGAGTACCTATTTCAACTTCTTAATTTTCTTTCCCATTATCATGTCCTAAACCATCATCTTCTTTAGCAAAATTGCTCCCTAATGTGAAATTCAGCCATCACTTGTGAAGTAGAACTATAAAGTCTCCTACTTCATTTTTACCTGTAAAACTCAGAGTAATAGGCAAAAGTGACATATTTAACCTTCTGTTTTGGTAAAATAGGACAGAAGGAGTTTACTCCACGCAGTAAGAGTCCTCCAGGTAGAGTTATTAGCAAAGGTGATGACTGTGCATTGACACGGGCGTTTTAAATGTATAATGTGGTAGCATGTGTCCTTCTCTGGTGGGCTCGGGTGTCTTCATGGACTGCATAGTAAAACAATGTCAGTTTTTATTTAGCACCTAATAATTAACCTGAAACCTTCTGTGAAATATAGGACTTACTATGGAATCAACGTTGTCCTCAAATAACTTATAAGCAAATTATAACCAGTCAGGGCACTTAAATTTGTCAGAGTCAATAGAATATATATAATGACTTTGGGATTACAATATGTCTATTCCTCCATAAATCATTCAGCGGTTGAATACGCCAAAAGGAGCAAGCTCCAATATAATTCACGCGACCCAGCAGGAAGGAGTGATATGTATCACCCCACCAGGAAAGCTTCATTTGAAATGTATTAAGAGTAGCTTTGATTTCTTAAAACATGGATATGTAAACACAGAATAGTAATAGAGCCCATAAGGAAAAATATCTGGAGGCGCTGAAATGAAATTAAAATATGATCTCCCTCTTACTCTGAATACCTGCACGGTTACCAATTCAACAAGGATCTAGCTTTCATTTATCCCAACTCCACTTTCCGGAAGAGCCCGAAGTCTACACTGTTGATGAAAGGGTTGATGCAGCTGGCATGGGGGGAACATCTTCGAACTGCTGATACACAAAATCATACTAGCACCAAG